TCGCTTTGAAATCGTTGAGTTTGCTTATCAAAAATTCGTTAAAGCTTTATAAAATAGATAATAAAACAAATTCAAAATTTTGGCTTCCAGATGCCCATATTTGATTGGAAACGTACATAATTCAAAATTTGATGACTCTAGGTACCGTCGTTTTATCACAAAGCGAGAAGCATGCATACTTTTATGTAGAATCTTCATTCTTTAATTTCTTTAAGTATAATACAGGGCTGTAATATTTGGTGGCAACAATTTGAAAAATGAACCGACATTTAAAGTTTTCAACGCAAAATGTCAAAAATTAATACCCTTCTGGGCTAACGCGCTTTGGGATTTAGTAAGTGATATTATAACGAATGAAAAAATTAAAATATTCCGCGATAACCCATCACTTTCCAAAATGAGAATGCTTGGAGAATTCCAGAATGCTACAAGCATTCCAAAGCAATCTCATAATATCGGCTGTAATTAAAGGTATTACAAAATATAAATAATTAGCTATTTTGTATTAAAGCTATTGGAATAAGCTTTTGTTTTGCTTAACTCTTAACATTACACAAACCTGCCAGACGAATAGCCTCACTGACATAAGAAACAGTTTTTATTTAATTTTAGCGTTCACATTTTCTAGTCAGCATACCTTTAAAGCTTCTTTCATCGTGAGGCCGACTGACTTTATTGATGTTGACTGTCCAGCCAGATGAAAGTGCAGAACTGCAGGTCAGGTAATCCTGTCACGTAGACGCTGCAAAAGGTCGAAGAGTTCAAGATGAAAGAACCCTGCCGAATTCAAGGCAAGACGACCTGAATTCTTTAGCAGATGCTTTTTATGAGATAGTTTTTCGACTCTTTTGTAAAATCGTGACCATAGGTTATAGGAAATCAACCAAATCACCCCAGAAATGCAAGTTACAGTATACCCCAAAGAAGGAAATCACAGTCGAAAATAAATACTTTTAGTCCGGCAAAATCTTTGTTTATTCCTAATTTAAACATACAAACAAAGTCTTCTAAATAGAATTTATGTAGTAAAACCGAATAGTATGTTAAATGTTTTAATTAAATCAAAACAAATCTATTTTTATATTTGCTTTTTATAATCTCTCAGAACGGTTTCCTTTCCTTCATTAAAACTCAAAACCAGTTTTTTTTTTTTTTTTTTTTTTTTGTTTTGTTTTTTGTTTTTTCCGTAAATGTGCATAAGCAATACTTTTATAAAGCTATGGCATACGTCACATTGTTTTGTACTACTTATACTAAAAATGCCCATTTTGGGGTAAATTAATATTTGTCCAGATCTAAAATCAGCTACTAATGTGGACCCAAAACAGGATTCTTCTCCGTTAAAGCTTATTACAAAATTCCATTTCTTTAATAGCCTGTACCCTGACAAGAAGAGAAATCCAGAGCTATTAGGCAACTGCACCTATACAGGAATTCCTTAAATCAGGACTTTTTTAACTTTTTTCAGTCGCGACCCCTTTTTATAACTGAGATTTTTTCGCGACCCCAGGACCCCATAATATTTACGAAAGTTTTGTGGGACCCCATAAGCATTGCACGTGAATGAAACTGTCAATTTTTTCACTTGTACTGTAATATACTATTGCAGGTTTAGGTCATTAACTTAAATTTATAATTTTAAGACATAGAACAATGTGAACATTTTAAATGAGTAACATACGGAAATGGTAGCGTCACGTGAAAAGCAAGTAAAATGAACGTTTACATTATAACAGGAATGCGTCGAAACGTTTTCATTTTTTCTTTATCTGTATTGTCTTATCTTTATCTATTTTCAGAAACATTGTGTAAAAATATTTAGTAATTTTAAAATCGTTATAATAAGTTAAAGAAATATCGAAACTGCTAAAATTTTTGGGGACCCTCTGTTGCAGGTCCCGCGACCCACAGTTTAAGACACTTTACCTTAAACTATTAATTCTTCTTTACGAAATAATTAATGAAGCTTGATTTGGGAAATAATAAGTTTCTTTGTGTTATCGCTATGGAATTAACCGTTAAAAGCTATACCAATTTCCGCCCTTTTGGCTTGGTGTATTTCCTCAGTTTCAAGCGTGGCCACTTTAGCTTGGCTTCAATTCAGGTGATAATTGTCTTTATCACCATCGATCACGCAACTATGTTTCACTTTATGTCAGCTGTTTAGCCTTATACTATTCTCTTTTTAGTGCAGTATTTGTTAAATATTGTTATTTTTTATTTTAGTGTTTCATATTTTATTTAGCCATTTATAAAGCAATAAATATAACTACCTTTATTTTCATCTTTCTCCTTATTTGAAAAGGGACTCGGTAAAGAATCCAACCGAAGCCAAGAAAGGAGAATTTAGTAAAAAAGAAAAAAAAAGAGAGAGAGAGAAATAAAAAATTTAAACAAACGTTTTTTTGGTAAAAACGCCTAATATCACTCCAGAGTCGTGGGGAAAGAAATAAATGTTAATATTGCTCTGACTCTGCATGGTATGGCTTTAATGAAAAATTACGAAATGCAGTCTGCAGTGATAACTGAAACAAACTGCATACGTTACATCAGTTTGTGCCCGACCATAAACCTGACGCGCAGAAACAGGGAATTAAAAAAAAAATTGGTGAGTCATAATTACATATTGCACTTTTAATACTTCAATTACAAACGCATGCAGACAATACTAGGAAAATGTGGGTTACAGAATGTGGTTAAAAAATGTGGGTTAAAGAAAAATGTTACTAGTGCGTTTTATATTAGTATTAAATGAAAATTCAATAGGATTCTGTTATATCTTGAAAAAGTCCTAGAAATCGTTGCAGAATTTTTCTTTTGCTAAGCCATTTCAATTTCAGAATGTAACAGTAAAGTCCCGCACTCAGCATCAAGTTCATCAGTCAGTAGTTTGAAAAACTTATTTTGAAGTAGTCTGGCACGAAAAGTTTTTATAATTTCTAGAACGTTCTATAAAAGAGTTCTATAAAACATATAAAAATTTCTATAAAAGAGTTTACAATTTAATGCACTCATGTATTTATGCAATTGCCTAATTTTTCTGTATTTCCTCTTTATTTCAATGCATAAGAGATTAAAAAAAATCTGAGTGCAGATTATCATAGAAAGCATGCTTTGAGATTCAAATGATCAGTGGGTAAATGGACAGAAATTTAAATACGTCAAGTGTTAAATAAGTACTTTTATATTAAAAAGAAGTATTGAATTAAAGAAAAACAGCGAAATACGGCATGAAACTAACAGAAGCCTTTTGATCTAAACATTTCAAAATAACATCAGATAAATTTATGTCATACTTCTCGACTTTACTGCTTTTTTCAGTAAACTATTTTCTACTTGAATGCAGTATATTTGCTCCCATTTTTGATGCCTTTCTCTTCAGTAACAACTTAATATACGCAAAAATTATCAATACATTAATAAAAACTGCAAAATGCCAAGATGTGGGTTCGACTCCTTCTTAAGGTTTGGCATTTGGTAGACCCTATAGAATGTTGTTGTGATGAGATAGCTAAATGACCACTCAGGACGAATTCTTAAGCAGAAAATATACGGCCTTTAAAAAAACATAAAATTACTCCATATTTCTACTGCCTCAAGATGTCTAAAACTGTTAAGGTGTCATTGATAAGTGAGCAGGTTTAAACCAACGACAAACACTTCAGATTTACTATAAAATGACATGTCATTTCATAACAAATCAAAATGTTTAACTTGTGTATTAATTTTATATAATTGCTTCATAAAAAATAATAATTTCATAAAACGGAAAAGAGGGAAACTAAGTATTAAGATCGTTATTCTTATAAATATATCGTACAATGGAAATCATCATGTTCGTTAGGTCGTTAATTGTCATTATTTGGATTGAAAGCAAAATACTCAGGCATTGAATTTTTTCAATTTTTCTACAAATCGTAGAATCGTACAACCTAAACGTAATCTGATTTTAGCTTCTACACGCACAATAGTAAACATTTTAAAATATTTTTCATTTTAAAATATTTCCAAAGTATATTTGCTTGAAAGCGAACATTCATTTCCCTCTATTTTACATACTATTTTTAAATATAGCGAAACCTTACATTAGTTTTAATGTTAACTTTACAAAGTTTATTTTAATAACAACAAACACTTCTATCAATTCATAAATTCCAATTAATAAATTATTCACAAAATTTAGAAAGCTATTTTAAAATGATTGAGTCATTTTGAAACAGAAAAAATAGTTAATTAAATCTCTTTCCCAATAATTTTTAAATTTCTTTTAATCATTGACTAAGCAGCATTTTTTTAATTCAATAATGCTGCCGGTTTTACTGTCTCTGAATTACCATTAGGAAAAGTGACAAGTCTAAATAAAAAAAAGGCAGAACTTCCTATGTAATTACCTCTAGCTGAAAAAGCATCGAATTAATTTAAATTGATGTGACGACTCATACTGAATTAACAAACTAATTAAGCACGAAATAACAGAATTACGTATTGCAAATATAAATTAATTAAAGTTTTGATTAAATTAAATTCTAAATGAAAGATACTATAGTCACTAGTAATAGCTATCTTTTCCTCATTTTTTGCATAAGAATACTATGAACTTTTATTCTTCGTCTATTAAATATTTTTAGTTTGTAAAATAAATTGCGCTCTGTTCGATTAATGGGATATAATTTTCACATATAGCTGGCTTTTGCGTTATTTAAAAATTCTGAATTACCAAAGGAAATAAATGGTTTCAAGTGATGAAAAAAAGTCGAAACATTTTCACATCTAAGAAAATGGCAGTCATTGAGTAGACAAATTAAAGTTCGTGGTTCAGATTTGGAATAATATTACAAAACAAGCGAAGCAAGTAAACATTTGTCCCATTTTTATCAAATGTAAATATAAAAATAAACCTGACGTTGTACTTCTATACGTTTGCACTTCATAAGCTTAGCATTCACTAATGAATCAGTGTGTTTATATCTTTTCAAGTTATAGTTTTAAGAACCACTAACCTGAAGTTCTTTGATTTCCCATCGCATTCTTCTTTCATCAGTCGTCATACGCTTCAAAAGATTCGAGTTCTTTGTCCTAAGTTCGTCGATAGTAGCCTGTAGATGATGCATCTTCTTTACAAGTTCATCTAAATATGCGAACATGGAATTTATTGTATTCTCACTTGATTTAAAACTCTTCTCCATATCTTTCGGCGATTCTTGACCTGCTGCTTTAGCTATGGCTGAGTGAAGATTTCCTACACTTTCCAAGCCTGACTCCAAGCCAGTCAAATCTTTCTCAATTAAATCTCCTGTTATAGCAATCCTGCAAACGTTATAATTGCATGCAATTTTAGTATTCAAGTATCAGAGTTTTGAAATTTTTAACAAAGCAATTAAATTGTCATAACTGTGAAATCTCACCATAATATCAGGAGTTTGAAATTTTAAAGACCATATTTTTTAAAGACATTCATAATTTACATGAGATATCTAAATTGCAAACGAACTTTTTCTTCACCAACTAATTACTAATAATTTGTTCCTTTTGTCCAAAAATGTTATCAAGATTTACCAGAAGATGGAAAATTAAATATAAAAGACTGGTTGAAAAGTTTTAATACTGTTTCTCTTTCCTAGTGTTCAATGGGCCAATCCTGCACTGGATTTTTGTACTTAGAACAATTACTGAAGCACCTTATAATGCCAATAATAAGCCGGCACGATGATTTAAAAATTGATTAAATAGTTCACTACCTAGAAAAGTGCACTGACAAACTTTTCACTAAAGGCGTCCATTGTCTCAAAGGCATTTTCTCAACATCTTTAAACTATGAGATCTATCCTGAGGATTTTAACATTAGGTAGTTTGCAGCATATTGTCTTATAGATAAAAAGTTTGCTTCCTAGTCTGACTCAATATCTGGTTTTCCTGAGAAGCGTGCTCTATTTCTTTTGACTAGTTGATAGCTTCCTGGCTTATGAGATAACAGTACCCTCCTTCCTACTTACCTCCTGTTCCCACCTAGGGGATTTCAACTGATTATCATTGATGTAATGCGTCTGTGAGGCATTAGTTAAATTAGCTTATTAAGACCAATATTTCTTGGCTCTATAACCATAATCATTCGACCTATTGGAGCACTGGATTTTGGGAAAGTTTATGTATCAAAATTTCTGAATTTGTAGTTAGATATGTCTGTCCATGTCAAAACGCACTATGTGAAAACATTAATACATTTGTTCAAGCAGAAAAACAAGCCGTTTTTGTGAAAATACGGCAGGAATGATATCAGATTTTTTAATTTAACTTTGCGAGTTGGTGAAACACATGAAATATTAGATATTCCTATAATGGTGAAAACCTTAGTGGTGCTTCAGTATTTCAATGGTAGACGAACTTCAATGAATACTAATATGTGTTCGATAAATCACGTTCTGGCAGGCAGGCTATCCGCGGTTAACGGATAACAGCACTCCTAACATATGGGTAGACACTGAATAGTAACTATTAATCAAATATTTTGAAAATCCATTTGCTTCAACCAAGAAGAAGCAAATCTGGATTTCCTCGAAGTACAGCGATTTGTACCTCGAAACACAGCGATAGGCAAGCGGTGGCCATAGTGTAATTTGAATGGTACCCATAGAAATTCAGAAATTTATATTAAGTTCATTTAAAAAATTGTTAAGTAAAAATTGAATTTTTAGGTCGTATTATTAAATATAAAATACAACGAAAGCATTATATTGGGAACTGATTTGTTACATAAAAACTATTGTGATTTTCAAAACTTCTACTTCAAAGACATTCAATTAACTCCCTACTCGGTCAGCGGCATAGAAAAAGTAGCAAAATAGGAATAGCATATTATGTAAAATTGACTAGGCATGAGATCTGACTACGGCGCACCTTTGGTTCTAATTTATTTTGTACTTTAAATTCAGTATTACAATTTTTAAGTACTCCTTCATAATTATAACAAATAAATTAGGGTTAACTGAGTTATAATGCTGAATACAAACAAACTATCCCTTTAGAAATAATATTTTTACGTTAATTATAGTATTTATATCATACTTGTAAATAGATAACCCATTTATATGCACATAATTAAGAAAAAGAAGTGTGTAAAATTAATATTTAATTTATATGGCAGGTGATATGTAAACAGAAATTAAAGAGTTAAAGAAGCAACGGACAATTTTGCACTTGTTGTTTGGCAATGGTTCAAGTAAGTGTGAGTTAGTTGAGCATTAAATAGGACCTTTACAGATTCTATAATATACAGATATGAAGCACCAGCAGGGAAGAACATAAAAGCTGAAGGTCGTGAGAACGAGTTAAATTAAAGTTTTAAGACAGTATGATTACGATTATTTGAAATATGGTTTTATAGGAGAATACAGAACTGAGCTTGATTCACGACCGTTTTGTATCATTGTTGAGTTTATTTGATGACGTCATAAAACTATTAAGACTTACTGGCTAAACATTTTGTTTGCTGACTAAACATCTAGATTTAGCTAATAAACAATCGAATATTTTCAAAAATTGCGTGATAATTTATGAAATCAAATAAATTCTTTAAAAACGTTGACAATTCAAGATAGGTCTGTGTTAAAAGTTTATTTCCTTATCTGAAGTCCACCATTATATAATTTTTTGCTCTTTGAATTTTACAACGTGAGCAGCTTGCCGCTGCTTCTAAAACACATGAAGTACTGTCTGATTTCATTAAAATTATAAATGAAATTCGGTATGAAGCCCTTAGCTCTCGATTATTTTAATCCTTTTTTAACGAAATGCGTTGACAGTATAGACATCTTCTTCATGGTGAAGTGCGTTGGCTGTCAAAGGGCGAAGTTTTAATACGATTGTTCCATATGCGACAAGAAGCAAAATTATTCTTTTAACAGCAAAATTATTCAAAATTCCAAAATTTCTCGGATAATAATTAGATATCAAAGCTTTATTCCTCAGCAGAAATTTTTTCTTTGTTAAATTATTTGAAACTATCTATTCAAGGTCAACTTTCAAATGTTTCTATTTTGCTCATTTCAGAAGATAATATTTTTATGAAAATCAAGAAATCGAAGAATATTTGCAATACTGTATGATTATATAAAAAAAGACATGAACCGATAACAGTGCTTGCAGTCAGAAAATGTTTTGAACATTATTATCAAAAAAGAGGATTCCAGAAATAGAAACGTGTGGATTAAAAAAAAATCCATTTTTTTAAAGATTTTAGGAAAGTTATTTAAATGTTAAATAAAAAGGAAAAATTTAATCAAATTATTAATTATCGGATAATATCCTCGGAATCAACTTAATTCAACTCATCTTCAAGAAATCATTTTTAACTCTCTGTAAAAAGCAAATATTGAGCATTGAGTGAAAAAAATCTTTAAAATCTTTCAATCTCTATTTACTATAACAGCTATTAGAAGCAACTACAGCTTTCAGCTCTAATAAACTCAGTATGGATGCTGCGGTAACATAATAGGAACCAGGGATTAGTAAAATAGTTTTAAATCAAGAGCAGGCAAATATTGCACTATTTTTAATTAATATTACTTTTATTATTGAAAGATTCTTTTCAGCTGTAGCTGAAAAGAATCTTTCAATAATAAAAGTAATATTAACCTCTGTAGCCTCTGTAGCTGAAAAGAATCTTTCAATTTGAAAGATTCTTTTCAGCTACAGAGAAGTAAGCGTCAAATCACGAATGACCCACTTTATGAAAATTTGGTTTACAAAACAAATTCTAACCACTTTGTATTTCGAACGGTGTCTCGAGTTACGTACACTCAAGTGGGAACTATGATTTTCAAACATGTTTTAAGATAAGCTGGGCCACGCAATTAACACTCAGGAGCTACTGAAAATATTCTTTTAATACTTTTCATTCTTTGACCTTCACTAAAACTTCTGGAGACTTACAGAACTACGAATTCTACTTGGAGGAAATTAGGGCCATATTGGTTTGCAGGCAGATACTGTGACCTCTTAGGACAATTTTAATTTTCTGTGGTGGTCTCTAGTCTAAACCATGGGCTAGAAGTTAACAAGAAAGATATGTAGCAGATATTAGAGGATCATAAAAATAAGCTCGACATGAAAAAATTACAGCTTATAAGAAGCAGCAACAAAAGGCGGTTTTGGAAACAATCTCTTCAGAAGAAAAGGAAGAAATAAAAGTGAACAAAGTTCTCAGATCCAAAAACATTGTGCAAAATGGAGTAAGATGCAGTGTCTTTCCGCAAAGATTTTTACCTCGATAAAAAGTAGTAGTAAGCTGTAAAATTAGCATTTCAATGACATTGCCATGTCTAACTTCAGAAACATTTTAAAATATAGACATTGCAAGTCACTTTGGGCACATTTTGAGGGAAACAGAGGCTAAGTGAGTCTGAAGCAGAATCGTGGGGCGCATAGAGGCAAAGGAAAGATAAAAGAAGATGCCACCTCACGTCAATTAACTACCTGATCATTTTTATGAAAAGGGGTTTCGCATCCAAACGATACCTAATGGCACAAGTAAAATATTTACTCTGTCCTCTCTTCTTTGTATGTTACAATAAAATGAATTTTTCTCCTAATTTATCTGTTCAATATTTTACTTTCCGTTTTGGTTTGTATTAAATGATTTGAATTTGTTTTGAGTTAAGAACTTGTTCACAGAGTACTATTGTAAAATTTAAATAAGCAATCATCTGTGATCCAAGAATGAATTAATTCATTTTGCAGTAATTCCTACGGAAAAAATGATTTAGTTTATGAACATTTGGGCTCAAGCATGACCTTCAGAAATGAATTAAATTTGTGAACCGAAGTTTCACTGTAACTTGACAACTCTTTGTGTTTCCTTGCCATCCATAGACATGATCTTAGGGAACTGGGAGCAATAATGTGAGTTTTTTGAAAGGAACATCGCAGACATTTGCCGTTTTCCTCATCTGGCGACCTGTAGGTATACTTGGGATGTTGCAGTACGTTTACGTATTTGGAGCCTTAAATAAATCAGCATACTCGTGATTGAAATGCTGAATTCTAAAATATTGCACTAATATCCGGCTGGGTTTTAATGTAATGATCTTCACCTTTTGATTTAGGAGTGGCTTGAAAGGCACAGACTTCTTATCATCATTGCTTGACAACTCAAAAACTGTAAAGAGCTGCTTATCTGCTTCGGATTATATTTCTTTTGAAAACTACCTAACTTTGAAAATTAGTATTTTATGATGGCAAAGATCTTCTTGAAAATTCCTCCTCATAATATCTGTGAGGTATCCATGATGCACTTCTTTGACGGCATGTTT